ACCTAGCCTTCTTCCTCCTTCCTGCAGGGACCACTTAGAAGCCTTGACTTCCCTTCCTTTCACCTCAGTCCCAGCCCTGTCTCCTCCAACCTGTACACACACAGCCCCAGCGGCGCGCCCCCTCCCCTGGGCCCTATGCACTCAGCCTACACCATAATGTACCCACAGCCAGATTCCTCGCCAGCAGCCCCTGTATAGTCAGTGGTACTGACCTCTCAGGAATTTTATCCTGACTGCGATATTTTTTGTTGTTGTTGTTGTTTTGTTTTGTTTTAGATTTGTTTATTTATACAAGCACCAGGTACAGTCAGAAGCACGGGAGGGTGAGAGAATTCACCAGAGACAGAGCGGGGAACAGAACAGGCAGACTGACAAAGTACACTGCTGAGGGGAGCAGCGGGCGGCAAGAGAGGTCTGCGTGCCATGCGGGACCCTCGCTGGGGGCCGGGGATTCAACTGGCGCTGCAGAGGCTGCAGGTAGCTTCACAGCCCAGCGCTCAACCGCTGTGCCACCAGGGGAGGCCCCTGACTGCAATGTTTTAAGAGCCACAAATGTTCACAAACAAATGATCGGAAGACAGACAGACGGTCAGGGTGGTAATAGCTTTAGAAATCATTTCATCCAAGGAAAATTTGCTGGAACTAAGTTCTAATCCACTTAGCAGATCACATCCGAGCTCGCCACTGTTCACGTAGTTAACCTTAGAGACGCTGCTCTCTTCTGGACCTGTCTCACCATCTATAAAATGGAAGTATTCGTAGTGCTGCTGCATGAGATTGTTATGAAGGTTCAATGTGTTATTGTGTGAAAAGCACTGAGAAAAACAGCTGGCAGAGTAGGTACTGTATAACTGCGGCTGTTGGTATTATTATTATTACTTTATCGGAAAAGAAAGCGAAGCTGACACAAGATAACATAGCCCACTACTTATCTACCGCATGACTTTGTGGTCTTAACCAAAAGTGGAGGCTGAGACCAGATTTTAGCTCTGACTCCTCCACTGAACAGCTGAGTGACCTTTGCAAGCCTCTATGCTTCTTACCTAAACCGCTTGTTAGAAGAATCAAAATGTCATAGTGGACTTTGCAAACCACCACAGTTACTGGGTCGTAGGTGCTTCCTATTTGCCCCTTGGGCAAAGGAGATATCTTTAGGGTTATTTCAAAAACACAGAAGCCAGGCTGGAGCCCAAGCGTTGTGAGGTAAACTACAGCTTTACCTCAGGAAGCATTCTCTCTCTTTTTTTTTTTTTTAAGATTTATTTATTTATGCATACAAGAACTGGGGTGTAGGCTAGAGGTGCAGGGTGGTGATAAGAGGATTCACCAGAGAAAGAGTGGGAAACAGAACAGGCAGACTGACTGAAATACACTGTTGAGGGGAGCAGCGTGCGAGACAGGACATGTCTCCTGAGCCATGTGGGTAGCTCCCTGGCTGGGATCGAAACTCATGTTGTCATGGCTGGCAATAGATAGCTTGATAGTGCTGTGTCTTTAAGCCCTGTGCCACCAGGGAGGTCCCTCAGGAAGCATTTTCTAACAGCGATGCCACAGAGGGAGGGGGTTCCTGACAGGAGGAGTCCATCACTGGGAGGGGTATTCCGCCCTAAGAGCCTGGGCTTTCTGTCCTTGCCAGGCCGCCCACAGAGCCTGTTTCCGGTTCCTGAAGGAAGCCGGTCTCCCTGCCAGTGTTAGGGATGGACAGCCTAGCTCAGAGTCCCCTCTTTGGGGACTTACTCTTCTCCTCCTCCCATTCCTGCTGCCAGGTTCCCTGCTCTGCCAGGAAGGAAGAAACCATGACCTGCTTCATTGTTTAAGAATTTAGGGCTGTTTTCTGTGGATATGGCTATGACCAGCCCTCTCCCTTGGATGCAAAAGCCCTTTGTTGCCCAGAAAGAAAGACCCAACCTTCACAATGGGTTCTTGGCACTTCCCTGCTGCGTATAAGGTCTTCAGCCCTGTCCCCTTCCTGAAGTTACAAAACAACCTGAGACCCACCCCACCCCACCTCCTCCTTTTTCTCCCTCCCCCTCTGCTGGGTCTGTCAGCAGGTAAGCAGCCCTGGCCTGACTTTATCTCTCCAGATATCTCCAGAGTTCCTCTGTCTGTCCACTGATTCCCTCCCTTCCTTGCTCCTCCTGCAGGGCTTCTTCATCTCACCTCGGCTTCCTGCACTGGCTGGTGGTCTCCAGCAGTTACACTTGTCACCCCCCACCAGGCTGCATTAGCCTGTTCACCCACCTCTGCCCTTGAGCAGAAGTCACCAGCCCTGGACCCCTCCCTCCAGCACTCTGGACAGGTACCCCTTCCACTTCCTGCTGCTCTTCTCTATGGGCCCCTACTAGCTGCCAACCCTGATGCTTTGCCTGGCCCCTTCTGACAGCTGAGGGAAGAATGAGTTTTGGGATCAAACACATTTGCTTTGTGACTCAGCTGCTAACCTGGGTAAACTTGGGCAAGTCACTTAACCTCTCTGCGTCTCAGTCTCCTCACCTCTAAAATGGAGGTGATAGGGCCTCTCTGCTGGCACAGGCAGTTGAGCGTCGCCGCACTGTGAAGCTGTCAGCAGCCTCTGCAGCGTGGGTTCGATCCCAGCCGGCCGGCAAGAATCCCACATAGCAAAGCAGACCTCTCCTGTCTTGCCCGCTGCTCCCCTCAGTGGTGTATTTCTTCAGTCTGCCTGTTCTGTTCCCCGCTCTGTCTCTGGTGAATCCTCTCACCCTCCCTCTCACAGAGATCTTCAGTGAGGATTAAGTAATTTAATACAAAAATTTCATTTATATTTATGGTAATTTGTAAAAATGTTGGGCACATGTTAAATATTCAGTGTTACTTATGGTGGTTGTAATTTTTATTATTTCCTGTGTGACCTTGCTTTAATTATTTCACCTCAGTTTCCTCTTCTGCACAATGGAAATAATAATCCCCACCTCCATGGACTTTAGGATTAAATGGAGCATGTTTATAAAGCACCCAGTGCAGTCAGGCACATCACAGGTGTTCAAGATTCTTCCCCGGTGCTGGGGAGCCTCCTTGGCTCCTGTCCTTCTGGGAGCTCTCCCCTCCACCCCCAAATCCTGCAGCAGCCTTCACATAGGAGGACTGCTTTCTATGTGGACTCCTGTCTCCCAAGCTGCAGACCCCCACCCCCCACCCCCCACTCCCGGAGCCAGGAGCTTTAGTTTCCATTTCCAGGAGCATTTTTCCTGGACTGTCCAGGGACTGTCTAAGACTGCAGAAACTATGCAGGTCCCAACCTATTCACCCCTACCCTCTCCATCTCTCACCCACATCTTCCAGCCACAAATATTTACTGAGCCTGCTCTCCTCCCTATGGTCCCTCCCACCTGCCTGCTCTCTGCTCCCTGCTGGGCCAGCACCTCTCCTTCTACCACAACCCCCAGGGAAAGACTAGAGCAGGGCAGCCATGGAGGTCAAGAGGAAGAGGAGAGAAACAAAGCACACAAGCACCAGGAAAACAGAAATGAGGGTAGGAATCAAAGAGAGCCCAGGGATGAGATACAAACATCTGATTGGAAATTTTCCTTCCTGTTCTACATCTTGGGTATTCAGTGGATGGAGGAGTGTGTGATCAGGCAAGCAGGGTGAGTCACAGCTCAGTCACTATCTCTGTGACCTTGAGACTTGTCTCCCTTTCCTTCAGTTTCCTCAAGTGCAAAATTGGGATAATGATCCCGCCTGGCAGGATTGTTGTGAGCACTAGTGGAGATGCCTGCAGAGTACTTAGCAGGGTCCAGTGCAGAAAGCAGCTTCTTAGTAAATGGCCCCTTAGCTTGTACATTACACGGAGATTGAGCAATTATTTTGGGGGGTAGTTTTTTTCTCTTCAAGGCAGTTTGTCCCAAACCCTGGTTTGTCCACAACACACCTCTGAACACAATAGGAAATGTGGTCTCCACCCCGCCAATATTTGACTAGTCCCAACCATCCATAACCACACAAACAAACACGCAATAGGTTTGCTCACGCACACTCATACAATCACACATGTGATATGCACTCATAAATCTCACACTCCTTGAAGCAGACTATAACTCACACAATTTTTATTATACTTATCACGGAGTGCTGCAGTTATTTGTTTCTATGCCTATCTCTTGCATCTCATTTTATATTTTATCTTTCATTCCCTAGCAAAGTGACTGGCCTTCAATAGCGATAGTATGAATGATGAACCAGCCCACCTGCCAGGTGCCTAGCACTGTGTCTGGCTTACCGCAGGTGTTCTGTGCCTGAGTGAACACACATAAAAGTTACGCGTACACACCCATTCTGCCTCCCTTTCTTCTCCATGGTTACCACGCTCTCTGGCTTCTGGATCACAAACTGGCAAAGAGCAGTGATGAAACCCAAAACTTCAGGACACACCCAAGCACTTAAAAGTCAAGCACCTGGGCAAGCGAACTGGGCAGCCTGGCAGGGGTCCCCCTGCTTTGTATTCTGTCCATTTCTCCTTCTGGTTCTGTAACTCCACGCCCAGCTTGAGGCTCAGGGATTGCTCTGTCAACCCCCACTTTGCTTTCTCCAAAACAGCCCCTGCGTTCCCACCATCCACAGCCCGGGGCACTGCCAAGACCTCACCTGTCCACCAGATTCTTCTCTTGCATGCGGGGGCTATTCTTTGCCCTCCTCTGGTTCCAGGAAAGGGAATGAGAGGGTTTCAACCCTGCCCTTTTGGAAGTCATCAGCATCTCACCTCCCAGGCACTCCCGGCCACACCCTCCCACTCCGGCAGGAAGAAGCTGACAGGAGAGGAGGGCATTACCAGTCCACAACCACACTCTGGATAAGCCTGGGGCACTAGGAAGCCTCCTCTGGGCAAAGCTCAAGTCTGGGCTCCCTATCTTGCCCAAAGGGACGTCGGACTGGGTCTTTAGGGGAACACCTTGCATCACCTCCTGCCCCTGGGCCTGAGGGTCTGCCCACCCATGGACACCTTGGTGCCCGGGTATCTCCTGAGTGGCAGAGAGACCACTCACCTGTAGGGATTGAGGGTGCAGACTGTCACGGCCGGGAAGACAAGCTTGTCGGAGTTGAGGTTGATGTTGAGGCTGACGGGGTAGCTGAAGTACTCTCCGAACAGCAGGCCGAACTGCCAGTACATCATGCCGAAGGTGCAGAGCCAGAGCACAGCCCAGAAGGCCGTCTTCATGCGGTTGTGCTGGGAGCACACCAGGCGGATGGCGCCATGGATGGTGGTGTTGTTGCAGAAGAACTGGAAGAGCTCTCGGTAGGAGCGGTGGAACTCAATCAGGGCCTCCTCCTCTTCCGTGGGCTGCCGGGGGGCCTCCGGTTCGGGGCCCAGCCCCTGCTCCTCTCGCTTGTCTCCCTTCATGAGCCCTGGGGTGAGAGCAGGAGGAGGAGGGTCAGGGCCCCGACTCCGGGCAGCCTTCTCTATCATCACCCGGACCCCAGAACAAGGCTGCTCCTGGCCATGCCCACATCCTTCCCGAGGCCACTTGGTCCACTTGGTGCGCTCCTCCCTCCCTCTGCCTTCCTGGGAGGCAGCTGGCCTGCCCAGTCAAGGTTAGAAGAGCTGGGGCTGGGCTCGCCCGGAGCGGTCACCCCTCTGCTTCTCTGATAAGGTCACCTTTTCGTGCCCAGGACCTCCCTTTCTGTCCTGGCAAGCAGTTAGTGTCTGCCTGGCTTAGACAGTGTCTCTCTGGTTTTCTTCCTCCAGGATGTCAGTCAGTGTCTTGGTCTTTCTCCTTTCCTTGCTCTTCTCAGCCCTCTCCTTCCTTCCCTGTCTCCTCTCAGATCTGCCCCTCTTCCTCTTCCTTCCCGCCTCTCCCCGCTCAGCCGGGGCTCTCTCCAGCCTCCGACCCTGGCCTGGGACTGTGTCGCGACTCCCTCACCGTCCCAGGGACCGCTGGGCTCCAGGAGACCTGGGCTCCTCCCGCTCCTGCTCCCGGCTCCGGGGAGTGCTGGACTGGGACTGGTTCCTTTCCAGTTGAATCTGGCAGCCGAGCCTCTCCTCCCCCTCACCTGACAGGTGCAGGGAGCCCGCCCGCCCGCCGGCCAGGGATGGGAGCCGCAGAAGGCCTCATTAGCATCTCAATTAAAGGTGAGCAGGGCAAGGGGAGGGGCTGAGGAGGAGTCTGAGCTGTAAGGTCTCCCCAGGGAGGAGGGCTCCTCAGGGCAAGTGACCTGGAAGTAGGGGCTGGAAGAGCAGGGCCCGGGAGCAGCACTGAGCTGACAGGCAAGGAGACTGGGAGGCAGAGCTCACAACCAAGGAGAAGAGCTGGAGGGCAGAGCAAGAAACAAGGGCCAGCCAGCATGAGTGAGAGCAGGTAGGGAGAGCAGGACTACAGAGAGACAGAAAAGGGGAGGTGGCTGGAGGACTGCGTGCAGGTATGGGGGGAGGGTAGAGAGGAGGATGAAGAGTAGGGAGTCTCAGCTCCCACGGAATCTCCCTTCCGGGCAGGTGAGCAGCTGAGGTCTCCTCCTGAGGCACCCCAGGTCTCCCTCACCCTCAGGTATTGAAGGGCTATCAGTTGGGCTCCTCTCTGTTCACCAAAGAGAGAACACCCGGCACTGGGGGTCTAAGCACCCCTTCTGCCTCTCCTTCCTATTCTATCCTTTTCCCTCCTGACTCCTCCTCAACACCACCCCTACCTTGTTCAGGCCAGGAAGAGGCCCAGGTGAAGCTGGGGGCTAGGCGGGGCCCTGGGACATTCTGTTCTTTTTTACACCGTTGACTGCCAGGCCAGGAATGTGTAATGTCCCCTGTGCGGTCACGAGGTTGCAGGAATGTGGGCACCAAGAGGCAGCACAGGACCAGGCAGGGCACTTGGGCACAGACCTGGATCCCCAGGAGCCTCTGAGGCAGCTGGGGTGCTGCGGTGGCTGAGGATAGCTTCATAGGGTGGGATATGGGCAGCACTGGGTGCCCAGGGCAAAGAGGGTAGGCATAGTCAAGTCTGCAACAGTCCTGGGAAGTGGGAGAAACTCTCTGTTAAGAGACTGGATTTTAACTCCAAAGCCTGGGCCCCAAATGTAATCCAGCAAGTGGAGAGAGAGAGCCTGAGCACCGCGTGAACTTGTGGGGGAAGACAGGCCTGAGATCATAGAAGATAAGGATTCCAATGGTGGAGATAAGAGCCAATTGCCGGGGGAGCCTGAGGTGGGGCGGGGGAGAGGCACGGGCCTGAGATACTCAGGAAGACTTCACGGGAAAGGAACAAGGAGGTTAGCAGGAAAGACAGGCTTGGGGTGCAACCCCTCTGTGGCTTTCACTCCCTGCTGCCTCGTGTTATTCTGGGGTCCACCAGCATTACAAAACCCAGCCACTGCTCTCGGGCCCTGCAGGGGACACCTCCCCTGGGAAGGGAAAGGCTAACTTTCTTCATTTTACAACTGAAGAAACTGGCCCCTCCCAAAGAAAAGCCAGTTTTCTGAGAACTCAAAACAAAAGAACAGCAGAGTTAAAAACAGGATTTGGAATTCTTCTCCTCTGGGGTTATCTATTTAGGGCTTTTGCCCTTTGCTTCCCCATACAAACCAGCCACAGCTTCATGGGGAAATCTGAGCTCCCCTGTATCAGCATCTTAAAAATCAGGAAGATTCACAGAGTCTTCAGGTTCATCAGCTATTGGGGTTCTGGATTATCTCCCTGGTCCTGCACTGAGCCCCCCTTCCATGGGACCCCGACTCCCTACAGGCTCCATTTCCTCCTTAAACTGGAGACTCTCCAACCTACAAATGGGGTATCCAGCTCCTTGTCTAATGGCAAAGGTTCTGAGGCACCTTCCTGCCCTTTCTGTTAGTTAGTGCCCAGCTTGGCACTAACTGGTGGGCAGCTTGGCACACACTTTCCATGTCCAGAGCTCAGTGTGAAGCTGAAGGGCTGGGCTGGGCTGAGCCAGGCCTCCACAGCAGTGTGGATGCAGAGAGAGACCACAAGGGCCAGAGCAAGCTAGTGGTGTGAGAAAAACAGAAATCTGAGACCTACACTTTTGTCATAACTCCATTTAGAAATATTATCTTTTGAAGTGCAGAAATACATTTTGGTCATACACGCAATATAATTTCTCAACAATACGGAGGGATACAGAACAAGAAAAGCCCCCCTTTGTCCCATTCCTTCCCTTCAGCCTAGGGGGGTGGTGAAGGGACAGCATTCTGTGTGTCCATATATCTTCTTGTGCTTTTATAGATTATAGCATTACATGTATTTTAAAAAACCAAAATGTGTCTTTTTTTTTTTTTTTTTTTTTTTTTACACAAATGGGACCATGTTACTCTGACTTCTATTTTGGCTTTTAAATTGTAAGACTTTGGGACCTCCCTGGTGGCGCACGGGGTTAAGCACAGCACTATGAAGCTATCTGCAGCCGGGGCAACACGAGTTCAATCCCTGCCTGGCCAGGGAGGTGACCCACATGGTGCAGCAGACCTCTCCTGGCTCACCCGCTGCTCCCCTCAGCAGTGTGTTTCAGTAGATCTGCCTGTTCTGTTCCCCACTCTGTCTCTGGTGAATCCTCTTGCCCCCCAACACCTCTGGCCTGTACCCCAGTTCCTGTATACATACATACATACATACATACATACATACATACATACATACGTGGTAAGACTTTGAAAAGGGCACTTTCCATATGTTATAAGCCAATGTTATTTCAATTAAAAATTTGTTTAATATCTGAATTTTAAAAACTGACCCAAAAAAAAGGTATTGGCCTTCTCTGGGTCCAGTGGGCTCTTGCCCTTCTGCAAAACAAAAGAGCAGGAGGTAACAGGGAAGGCAGTCCTGATGGTCCAATGAACCTTTCCTGCCCACTTGGCATCCCATCCCTGGCTTATTTCAGGGGGCACCTGAGGCCCCAGAGGGCCTCAGTGACTTGCCCACAGCCACCCAAGAATTCAGGCAGGGCCTGACTGAGAACTGAGCCTCCCCTTTCCAAGCTCAGGGCCACTCCCCTGACTTCCAGAGAAGTGGAGTCTTGCTGTTTGGGGAATCTGGCCTGGAAGCTCCCACCAGTCTCCCCTAGAGCCCCACCCCTTCCTTCCCACCCAGACTGCTTTCCCCCTTCAACCCCAACCTTCCTCTAGCCTGTGGTATGACCGAAAATATGCTAAGGCTGAAAAGAGAGAAGTGGAACTAGAGGGACTGTCATGGATGTGGGTGATGGGTTCAACAGGACCTTCTGTCTCATTCTCTGGGGAGCAGGAGATGATGGAGCCATCCACTCTCTCTGCCACACTTCTAGTGAGCCTTGCTTAGAACTTGATCGCAGTATTCACCGCTGTATAGTATTGTTATTGTGTGTGTGTGTGTACGTAGGCACGCATCATATTGTGACTTCTCGGAGGACAGCACTAGACTCATTCATCATGGTGGCCCCTGTGTCTAAGGTCACTATTTGTTCACCCACTCCACAGAAGACAACAGAATTACCATCTGGGTAAGAACCAAGATTTTTCCTTGACGGAGATAACATGGTCTGCGAAAACATTCCCCCATGTCAATTTCTGTCTGCTTTCCTATGATTACCCATAATTTGTGGCCTATTCCTTTATCTAAATTTCTTTCACCCTTCCCAATTCACTCTCTCTAGGGTAACAATGAGTCACTCAGTTAAAGGCAAGTCTACTTAGAGCAAATTGCCCCTCTATACTGGAGTATCCATTGTGGAGAACAAGTGTTTATCTGCATTTGTACAGTATGAATATCTCTTCAACCCAAAATTATGTACCAGAAAACCCCTCCCTGCCGCTCTTAGCCCAGTCTCCTGGCAGGATGCTTGGGAGTTCACACAGGAGTTCATTTCTTCGGGTTAAGGCCTATTTCTCAACCTTGGCACTATTGACATTTGGATAATGTCAATTATTCTTTGTTATGGGGGATTTCTTGTGTATTGATGGATGGTTGGCAGCATCCCTGGCCTTGACCCACCAGATGTCAATAGTGCCTGAATTGTGACAATCAAAAATGCCTCCAGATATTTCCAAATGTCTTCAAAGGGCAAAATCACCCCAGTTAAGATGACTGAGTCAAGGGATCATCCCTAGTGAAAATGCGATGGCATTTTCAGATGGCATCATCAGTCATTACACCTCACCTGGGTTTACCAGGCCCTTCCTAAAACTCCACTGACAAGCGCAGTATGGACAAGAGGAGAAAAAAAAAAGGTATTCCCACGAATCCCCTCTTGGGTTCTTCATGGGCCCTTGGAAAGAAGGTTATTTCAGCAATCCCCTCTGAAGGAGCCCAGAAGAGCCCCATTTCCACACAAGCTGGAGTGTATGGGGCACTGAGCACAGATCTGGTGTTGCTCAGTGGAAACCAGTATAACTTCAACGAAACTTGAACACACAATGAAAGAAGCAAAAGCAATGCCCTACCTCAGAAGAATTCATGGATTCCCTATACCTGTGTCTCTTGATTCTCCTGGAGATGGTTGGGTAGGCATTATAATAACCACTTTTAAAAAAAGATTTATTTATGTATAAATAAACCTGGATACAGGCCGGAGGTGTGGGGGGTGAGAGGATTCACCAGAGACAGACTGTGGAACAGAACAGGCAGACTGACTGAAGTACACAGCTGAGGGGAGCAGCGGGCAAGTCAGGAGAGGTCTGCTGTGCCACGTGGGTCACCTCCCTGGCCAGGGGATAGAACTGGTGCTGCAGTGGCTGAGGATAGCTTCATTGTGCTGCACCTTAACCCCTTACACCACCAAGGAGGCCCCAATAACCACTTATTAATAGGATTTGTCAACTATGATCCAGTCAGCAAATACTCTTGTCTTTCAAATGGAAGCCATTTAACAAAGGGAATCAGTACATAGGTGATGGAAGAGCTGAGACCCCAATAAGAGACAGTGAGGCAACCCAGAAAATGGCGACTGATGGAAGAGCTGAGACCCCAATAAGAGACAGTGAGGCAACCCAGAAAATGGCGACGAAGAAAGCAGCTAGTTCAAGGACTCATAATGTAGCATTACAGACCCAGAACCTCCAGAGCAATTTGGCAGGAACTCAGAGTTGGGGCTGCCTGGTAGGACATGGGATTATAGAAGGATGGAAGGAAGAAACACAATCAACTGCAGGCGATGTCATATAGCAGAGAGATGGGGATAAAGAGCTTGGATTCTTTCCTCCTCTCATCCACCCGTTAGAACCTACCCTGAGCCAGAGAGAAAAGGAATCTGGAAAATGTAGTTTCCAGTGGTAATCCGGAACAAATGGAGGGAAGCGTGGAGAAGGAATGGGCAAGCAAACCAACACTTAGTTGGCACACAGAAAAAAAGAGGTCCAAAGAGGTGAAGTGAGGGGGCCAGGATTAAAGCCCAGATCTTACGGCTTTTTCTGTAGGGCCCAGAGAGTCCTGAAGGCAGAAGTGGCAGCATGAGACTGGCAGCAGAATGAAGGGGATAGTTCAACCAGTTCTGACCTGTGAGGCAGGGGGTTTTACTAGAAAGGGCATACAGGAACCTTTTGGGGGTGCAGCAAATGTTCTGAAGAACTACGTGGGAATATACGAGTGAAAATTAATTGATCTGTATTGATAAAATGAGTGTATTTTCTGCACTTCATTGTTTATACACATTACACCTCAATTTAAGAAATCGATTCCTCTCCTTTAAAGTAAAATCAGGAAATAGCTTCCAATGAAATGAAATGTGTCTGGGATTTGCTTCAAGGGGCCATTTAAACAGTGGAAGAGGGTGTATGGAATAGAAAGGAATCCTGAGTTGAAGCTGGGAGTTCACCATATGATCTTTTTTCTTTTGTGTATGTAGGTATGTGAATTTCCATAATAAATAAGAAAAGGAAGAGAGAAAAAAGAATCTAAGGACAATATACATTCATACCTTTGTGCTGTTAGGAGCTCAGTGGTGAGTCCAGGCCCAGCCTCCAATTCCCTTGTCTTGGAAAGAGCTGCAGCCCTAGCACGCACACATTTCTGATATTTCTTCCCTTCTGAGCAGCCTTGAACCACTGAATAAACATTTGCCAGAGGAAGGTCCTACGCCTGCACCTGGACAGAAGAGTGAAACGTCTAGAGCCCAGGCAAGCCCATGTGGCCTGTATGAGCCCTCCTCCCCAGATGAGCCATTCCACCTGACTTCCCAGCTCCTCCAAGAGCCTGTCCAGCCAGTTAGACCAACCAGGGTAAAGATGAGCACTGAACAGGAGCCTGCAGGAAGCAGGGCAGGGACAGTGCCGAGAACTCTCTCAAGAGAGTAAGTCAACCTCTTATGCCAGGAGAGGCACCCCTGAGTCACCGGGAGACAGAGTGAGCCAAGACCTGGAAATCAGGAGCCCTGGACTCTGGGCTGGATTTTCCATGGCCTGGCTATATGATGTAAGCAAAACATCATTGCATCATTCATTTATTCCATAACCATGTACTGGGCAAATGGCATGTGCCAAACTTTGTGCAAAGCACTGGGAAACCAGACGTAAAGATTTAGTCTGGGTCACTGCAGAGCTCACAGCCAGGCAGAGCCACAGACAATAGGCAGCGTGTTACTGAGTGTGTGCAGCCTGTAGTGCAGGTGCTTCCAGGGTCCAAGTGAAACTCAGGGACAAGTAGAGTTCACCAGGAGCACAAAGACTTGGAGACCCGAGATCCTGACATTAAGGGGTGGGGGCAGGCAACTGCAAATCACTTGGAGGAGGGTGGAGGGGTCTGGTCTATTGATGATTTGAAGGGAAATGGTGGGAAGAAATGGAGCAGGGACCAGACTAGTCCTTGAAATCAATCCTGGTCTCCACCCAGGATGCTGCCTCCAGTTCAAGGGGATTCAAAGACTCAGTCAGGGCAAGGAAGGCTGTCGACCTTGCCCCTACTCAGCAAGAATTCTGTCGGTATGCCCTCCACACTCTCTCCCTAGAAGGTAGCTTCCCTAAGGACAGGGGAGCAGGGGTTGCTGCTCTGGCATGTCCTGTGGACAACCTAGACCCGCTCGTGTGTGGATGGGGTTGGATCAGGGGAGAGGAGCAATGGCTGGCTTGTTATTTCTTTGTACTTCATCTTAAAAAGTCACACAGCAGGGCAGGAACACAGGAGTCCAGATTGTCAATAGGGCATCTGGCTCCCAGATGCCGTGTCTGGCTCTCTGTCCATGTCTGTCTGTGGGTCTCTGTACTTTCCATATTTGCCAGACCCCTTCATTTCTCAAGCTGGCGCCCTGCTGTACACTGCTCTGTGCCCAGTTCTATCAGCACTGCCCCAGCTGAGCTCTCAGGGGCCCATCTGAGGACTGTCCACTGATTCTGCAGCCCCTTTCCCACCAGCTGGGCCTGGCCTGTCCCTGCAAGCCCTCCTCTCCCCGGCGGCTTCTGAAGAAGGGAGGAGGCCTGGTTCCGGCCCTGCTGCCCTCACGTGCTTTCCCGGCTGCCCCCTCCCGCCCAGTAGGGGCAGCCAAGCCTGTTCCTCTTCCCGATTGCGACAACAGGCCTTAGCTCCCAGCGCTCCCTGTCCCCGCCCAGCGGCAGGCTCTCCACTCCCACTTCCTGAGCCTGGCGCTGGAGCCCTGGAGGCCAGGCCCGGCCGCTGCGGGCCCCCGGGGGCACTTCGGCCCTTTGTTCAGTCCCAGCCCTTGGGCTCCGGAGGCTGCTGCCACCATTGCCCAGGACATCCAGGGCCCCATCTTCCTCCCAGGCCTGCACCCATCTGATTGACTGGCCGCCATGCGCCTCCCCGGGGCTGCCTCCCCCTGCGGCCTGGCCTGGGGGCCACTGGTACTGGGCCTCTGCAGTCTGCTGGCAGCATCCCCAACCCGGCTGGTGAGGAAAGGGCCATGCAGAGGGGTGGGGGTGGTCTTGGGCAGGGAAGAGGAGTCTGGGCAGCCCTCTCTAGTCCCTCTGCCCTTTCATGCTGACTTCTAAATAATTCCCACCCCACCACCGTCTCCCCTTGAAGGTGCCCCCATACCACATGGAGAACCAAACCTGCCAGGACCAAGAAAAGGAGTACTACATGACCAAGCATCGGGTCTGCTGCTCCCGCTGCAAACCAGGTTAGAGGCAAAGGCTAGAGGCAAAGGCTAGAGGGAGCAGGGCTCCAGGGTGGGAGTACCAGTCCACCGGCATGCCTCAGACACCACCTCCCAGAGACTGAGAAACACTGGCTCTCCCGCATTTGTTGGCACTGGGAGGACAGGCCCAGGGTCACACAACCAGCAGCAGACCTGAGGGTGGAACCCAGGCCTCCTGACACCCCTCTGCGGGTTCACGTTTTGCAGGAACGTATGTCTCTGCTGAATGTAACCTCAACAAGGACACAACTTGCACCACATGCCCTGAACATTCCTACAACGAGCATTGGAACCATCTCTTCATCTGCCAGATGTGCCGGCCCTGTGATCCTGGTGAGTGGGACGGGCCAGGGCAGGGCTGGGGTCTCCTGGGCACAGCCCCTCCACTGAGCTCTCCAGTCTCCCCCCAGTGCTGGGCTTCGAGGAGATCCTGCCTTGCACTAGCAAACAGAAAACTCAGTGCCGCTGCCAGCCAGGAATGACCTGCTCTTTCCTGAACCATGAGTGTACACACTGCGAGCCACTCCCAGACTGTGAACCTGGCACTGAAACCCAGCTGAAAGGTCAGAGGTCACTGAGGGGCAGAGGGGGCTCTTGAATGGGGCCAGGAGCATGGTATTGTGTCCATGGTGAGCCCCCAGGCTGTCCTCTTTGTTATGCCTCTTCTCACACCATGTGACACTCCCGGGAAGGATGGGGGGCGGTGAATAGATTTGGGACAGGTGAGGGGCTCCAGAGGGGGCCTCCTTTCTGCACTAGGGAAGCCAGGATAAAGGAGAGATGAGGAAAGATGTGAGCCACAGAATGGAGGGGGCCATCAGTGGGCATAGAGGAAGCTCACCAAGGAGCAAAGGATTCTCTTTGCCTACTCACCCTGGCTCACCTCACTTTTTTCTTGCCAGATGATGTTGGAGAAGCTACCGGCTACTGTGTAGCCTGTAAGGCAGGATATTTCCAGAATACCACCTCCCGCGGTGCCCGCTGCAGGCCCCACACCAGGTCAGTGCGCCCCTGCCCACATCCCCTCCCACTGCTGAAAGCCCGCCCCACGTGCTTGGTTCCCTGGGCTCTGCCGGTCACTTCCAGCCCCAGGCCCACTTAAGCTGGGTTCCCTCCGTTCCACAGATGTGAGGACCAGGGCCTGGTGGAAGCAGCCCCAGGCACCGCCCAGGCTGACACCAGCTGCAGAAATGCACCAGAACCACCTGAGATGACAGGTGAGGGGCCAGGGCTGAAGGACTCATCTGGGAAAATGCCTGTTTTTATTTTTTTTTTTTTATTTTTTTAAAGATTTATTTATTTATTATTTATACAAGCACTGGGTACAGTCTGAAGTGCGGGAGGGTGAGAGAACACACCAGAGCCAGAGCGGGGAGCAGAGTAGGCAGAAGGACCGAAGTACACTGCTGAGGGGAGCAGCGGGGGGCAGGAGAGGTCTGCACGCCATGTGGGACCCTCCTCCGGTGGCCGGGGAGCAGCTGGGGGATCGAACAGGCGCTGCAGAGGCTGTGGGCAGCTTCGCAACCCAGCGCTCAACCACTGCGCCACCGGGGAGGCCCAACCTGTTTTTATTTTTTAAGATTTATTTATTTATGCATACAAGAGCCTGGTGCAGGCCAGAGGTGCAGGGGTGGGGGGTGGTGAGAGGATTCACCAGAGACAGAAAGAGGAGCAGAACAGGTGGATCTACTGAGATACACTGCTGAGGGGAGCAGCGGGCAAGACAGGAGAGGTCTGCTGCACCATGTGTGTCACCTCCCTGGCCTGGGGATCAAACTGGTGTTGCAGTGGCTGTGGATAGCTTCATAGTGCTGTGACTTAACCCCTTGTACCACCAGGGAGGCCCCTGGGAAAATGCTTTAATTCCACCCATCTCAAAATCTTCCTTCCATCTCAGAATTGGAGTAAGAAGAAAAGTTCCTTAAAGAGAAATTGGAGTATCCCTATGCTAGTTTACTTACACACACACACACACACACACACATACACACGGACGCTTCTTTATAACTTACACATTATTATGTGTAACACTCCACACCGAGGTGTAATTGTAACTGATATCGCTGTCATCATTCTGGACATGCCACCATCACATAATCCATGTAATAGACCACTGTATTAGATAACACACTCTGTCCTTAAGAAATGATTCCACGTTTGATGCTTTCTTTTTTTTCCTTTTTCGAGGTGTTATTGTTTTCCTTACCTAATAGACAATTATAGGATATTTGTAATGATGGTACTTGTCATTAATCACAGCAAACTTTATTGTATTGTCTTTTTCAATGGCCAAATATTTATAATCATAGCTTCCATTTATTGAGAGCTAGCGTGTCATGCACTCTGCGAACACGTTGCCTACGCTAAGCTATTTAATCCTCTTAATGATCCTATGAGGGAGTACCGTTAGTATCCTCACTGATTAGGTGAGGAAACTGAGGCTCAGGAGGGGGATGTGACTTGCCCAAGATCACCCACGTGGTAATCGGTATTATTAATGTAACAGAGGCATTGCCATTAAAACAGAGGTTTTTCCTGCCCCACCTAATGAGGGGTGTAGCTGAGCAGCCAGGTCGTGGGGTACCCCGACCTGGGGTACCAGACTGTCCACTGACATTAAGACCTATCCTCAGGTCTTTCTTACTCCAAATGTATGCCACAATACATGTGCCTTAGAGATTAGAAAATTCAGATAAGCAAACAACTCACCCCACAGAACTTTGACCTACTGTATCCATTCTTAACATCTTTTAATAAAGCCCTAGACATTTTTCTATGTCTCAAAGTCCATAGCTATGATTTTTCCCTAAAAGTGGAGTCATTTGAATATGTGATAACCTGATCTTTCTTCCTACTATATTATGCTTTTGCATGTCCTCATTCATTTGTAATTAATGACAAGTAACATTTTAGAAGGTATGAGAAGCTTTTTTATATATATAAAAAAGCTGGAAAGGTGAAATGACTTCAAAAATCACACAGCTGGACAAAAATCACACAGCTGGACAAAAATCACACAGCTCGAACCCATGTGTCCGAGACTCCAGGCCCAAGTTCTTGCCATGCCTCGTCGTCTGTATTCCTGTCAGCCACAGAGTCACGTGCAAACCTCCTGGGAGGAACAGGTCCAAGTCCTCCTGACTTTCCTCAGGTGTGTTTAGTGGCCAATGGACACTGTGGACTCCTTGCAATTGATGACAGACTGAGGCCCATAGAAGGACAGAAATTACCTACCTAGACACACAGGAGTCTGAGAAACTCTCAGCCTTTCTTTCTCTCCTCTCCTGGAACCTGACCTGAGCAACTCCCACCCTCCCATGCAGCCAAGACAGAGTTCAGAAGCAAGGCTCCCCTGTAAACAGCCCTGCAGGTCAGAAGGGCAATCCCAGCTCTTACCAGTGCCTCTCTGTAAGGTGGTCAAGTACACAGAAATGTGGCTCTCCCATGGCCTGAGTCACCTGTGGCAAGTGTCCCTAGGTTTGCCCCAAGGGACTGCCATAGGGTGAGAGGGGAAAGCTGCTGGAAAGCTGGACCCTAACTTCCTTGCCTTCCACCCTTCTCTGGGTGCCATGTCCCTCCCATCTCTGTCCTGGCAGGAACCATGCTGCTGCTGGCCATCCTGCTGCCCCTGGCCTTCTTCGTGCTGCTCACCATTGTCTTCACCTGCATCTGGAAGAGCCACCCCTCTCTCTGCAGAAAGCTGGGTAGGGAGGAGCAGGAGACCCTCTGTCCCTCCCTGGATGGGGGGGTAGGAGAGGGAGGGAATACTCAACTTCCTCAGTGTCAACCCTTCTGCCCCTCCACACCCTCGAGACTCCCCATGCTTGTCCCCAACACAAACATCATCTCCATCCAGCCCCCCATTCTGAGGCTGGAGCTAAGGGTTCCTTTGGGAAATCCCAGGTTGGGAAGCAACACATTGTGGTGGGGTGTGGAGGTCAGGGTAATGTGGGTTGACACTTGAAGGGTCTGCCAGAGGCCCTACACCCATTGCCTTTTCCATTGCAGGATCTCTGCTCAAGAGGCATCCAGAGGTAATGGGGAAGGCTGAGAAGGCAGCGAGGAGGGTCAGAGGATAGGTGGGCAAGGTGGGGGGAGCAAGGAAAGCATGTGTAGGCTTCGACATTCATGAATGCATTCAATTCATCATTATGGAGCAGACCACAAGCCAGGTATTGTGCAAGGCAGTGGATACGGCAGAGAGCAAAACAAAGCCTCTACCCTCCTGTGTGTACAAACATATATCAAGTGTTGATCTTTGCTAAATGAAGCAGACTGGGTGGGGGCAGTGACTGATAGTGGAACACAATGGGCTTAGACAGAGAGGGCCTTACCGATAAGCTGACATTTAAGCTGAAAAATAAACAAGGGAGCTAGCCACAGGGATTTCTGGGGAATGTGCTTTAAGAGACGGAACATCAGGTGCAAAGGCCCTGAGGCAGACAGCATGGTCAGGAGTAGAGTCGGGCGAAGAGTTGTCTAAGCATGGGGTAGAGTATGGAAATTAAAGAAAGATGAGTCTGAGGCCCACTGCTCTCTCCCACAGCAGGTGGAAGCTGATGGAAGCTGGGAGCCTCCAAGGATCAACCCACATTTCCCTGACCTGGTAGAGCCACTTCTGCCCCTGTCCGGAGATTTGTCCCTGGCCTTGACCAGGCACCCAGCAGCCTCAGTTGTGGAGAAGGAGGTGCTACAGCAGCAAAGTCCTCTGGTACAGGCCGGGGAGATGGAGGCTGAGCCTCCAGAGCAAGGCCAACTGGCCCACGGTAAGCTGGGGCAGATGGAAGGGAGAAGGGGTGGGGCAGGGCAGGGAGAGAAAATGACAGGCAGGGAGAGAGTGTGAGCCAGACAAAAGACAAAAGACTAAAACAGAGGCAAGACTTTGAGACTCCAGACAGCTAGCCAGGGCATCGCAGTAACAGGGAAGGGAAGAGACAAAAAGCTAGAAACAAAAATGAAGGTGGAATACCAGAAACTAATAGCAAATGGGAGCAGGGACAAAGATCGGGGGCCTGATGTTGGGGGCACAGACTTCCTTCCCCAGTAGTGCCTCTCAGCCCCTCTCACTCTGCCACCCCTCTCACAGGTACAAACGGTATTCACGTCACTGGCGGGTCTGTGACTGTCACTGGTAACATCTACATCTACAATGGGCCAGTCCTGGGGGGAGGACGGGGCCCCGGTGACCCCACAGCTGCTCCGGAGCCTCCATACCCCATCCCGGAAGAGGGTGCCCCTGGCCCTCCAGGGCTCTCTACACCCTTCCAGGAAGATGGCAAAGCTTGGCACCTGGCGGAGACAGAAACCCGGGGGTGCCATGCCCTCTAACAGGACCAAGGACCCAATTTGTCACCCATGTCTGATGGTGTCTGGGAAAAGCCAGGAGAAGGGAGATTCAAGAGCACCCTCTCCCCAAGCTGCCCCACCCACACAGGATTGACAGAGGACCTGGGTAGGCCCGAGGGGCAGAGCCCTAGGGGGCCAGGCCTCTGACACCTCTCTGAGAGCAAGACTGGCACTGGCTGGGAACGGGGCCGAAGAAGGACTCTCACCACTGCCTGAGCAAGTCGGAGACTTCAATGCAGACACCCCTGCTCACTGGGGCTGTGCCAGCTCCGCTTAGGCACAGGTGGGGCCTGTAGCCCTCACTGCTGCCCACACGGCACTCTGCACCCTAAGCCTGCCACAGAAGAGAGCCGGCCACACGGTCCCTTGTGAGGACATCACTGGGACTTCTAAGGGATTCGTGGTGCTCATCCCCAAGCTTTGGAGGCCCTCGGAGGGCCCGCATTTTACAAGGACTGAGGTAGTCCCTCTATAACGTTGGCATTGCGTGAAGGAACCCCGCCCCATCCCAGAGTCGAAAGGGTTTCTGGACAGACTGGGAGTTTGGTTTGGGATTCTAGGGATAAGGGGGAGTTGCGGAGGGGGAGGAAAATAGTAAGTGTATTTATCAAGTGTAACCACATGCAAATAAAGAAGAGACTGAGATCTAGACTATTTTCTTGGGATTTATATAGAAATACTATTCCATTGGGACAGTGACTGAGGCAAAGGTCAGAATATACTGTAACCCCACACAGGTATTTTTATGTGGGACTGAAGATGTAATTCAGGTGAATTACACTAGCCAGGAATCACTGCAGCATCAAGATGGTGTTCTAAATGCCTCACAGATTTAACTGATAAAATCCTTACAACAACCCCACAGGGTAGATAATTACTAATCCCATTTAACAAGGGAGGAAACTGAGGCCCAGCAAGGGTAAACTCGCCCACTTCTGCTTCCAATGGCAAAGCTGGGATCTGCATCCAGTGGGCCTGGCTCCAGTGGTCTCTGGAGTGATCATCACCTGTCACACCCTGCAGAATGTCTCTGAATGGGTGTCCTGGCTGGCTTCTTTGGTACCCAGGCCTCCCCTTGGAGTCTCAGCCAGCTCACAAGCCCCAACCACAGTGGCTGGAGGAGAAACCACCTTCTACTCCAAATGTGAGAGGCCAAGTTCACATCCACAAGTGAGCAGAGGCCCAGACCCACCATCCCACTCAGAAGGAACACTCACCACTTTTTTTTTTGAAGATTGATTTATTTATGCGTACAAAAACTGGGGTACAGGCCAGAGGTGTGGGGGGTGAGAGGATCCACTAGAAACAGAGTGGGGAACAGAACAGGCGGATTGACTGAAATACACTGCTGAGGGGAGAAGCAGGTGAGACAGGGGAGGTCTGCTGCACCATGTGGGTTGCTCCCTGGACAGGGATCGATTTCATGCTGCAGTGGCTGCAGATTGCTTCAAAGGTTGTGTCTTAATCCCTTGAGCCACCAGGGAGGCCCCCACCCACCACTTTTTACTTTGTTTGTTTTTGTTTTATTTTATCCCCCCCCCCTAAAAAAAGACATTAAATCTTCCCAGGGGTTCTCAGGAGTCAATGTTTGCTGCCCCTGCCCCCCCCCCCCCCCCCCTACCCCCCTGCAGAATTTTTCTACCATCCTGCTCACTAGAGGCTGCCTGGGCTGGAAGGATTTAGAGGGAGCAGCTGCCAGCTGGCTGCTCCTTCCATAAAAGGCCACCCTTTGGGTCTAAAGTCAAGCACTCCATCACTGGGGCTCATCAAGAAGGTGTGGCCACAAAACACAGACCCGGGAGTCTGATCCAACACGGTGCCGGGTTATTTAAGGCTGACGGTGACCATGTGAGATGCAACTTCCTTTTCTGAGAAGTAAATACTGGTGACTTCTAGCTCCCCATACAGAGTTAAATCTTCCTGCTCTGCTATAAAGTCAGCCAGTGTGGCTCCTTAATAATTATCTGATTGCATTTAGATTTTTTTTTAATTCACACACTGTTCAACAAAAGAAAAAAAAGAAAAAAATTTTAAGAAATCGTGCTAAAACTAACCCTTGAAAGCTGACCATAGATCTGAGGCATTCAGAGGGGAGGGGAGGGGTAAGGAGTGGAGGGAGCACATTCCACTGTGGTGGGGGGTTGTGGGTGCTTTTGTGACTGTGCTTTTGGGGGGTTGGAGAGCAACGAGGACTACACTTGAGGGCAGACATCCCATACTGTCAAAAAATTAATAATGATAAAACAGGGGTATTTCATTAAAAAGTAAAAGATAAATAAAATAAAATTGAGAGAGATAGAGCTATAAAGCACACCCTCTGTGACACTGATTAGATCTGTCTGTTTGCTGCAGCGGCCAGACCAAAGAGCCACAGATTGGGCCATTTAAATAGCTAGAAATGGGCAGTTCTTGTCTTTTCAGACTGCCCACCTGAGTCTATGCCAGCATCTCTTTTTTCCTTTTTTTCTCTTTTCCTTTATAAACTTGTGAGGAACAAATAAAAAATAAACGGTTGAAAATGATTTCACAGCTCTGGAGGCTGCAGGCCTGACGGGGCAGGTTGGGTTTCCTCTGAAGCATGGCTCCTGGGCTTGTGGACGGCCAGCCATCCGCTCCGCTGTCATGTGGTCTACCTCTGTGTGTGTCTGTGTCCGAGTTTCCTCTTCTTTAAAGGACCAGCCCATCCCAATGAACTTACTTCAACTTCATCATCTCTTGAAAGACCCTATATCTAAGTACAGTCACACCAGGTTAGAACATCAATATGAGTTTTAGAGGACATAATTCAGCCCATGACGTTACCTTGTTTATTTTGCCAGTGTCAAGGTAATTCAGGCTCCAAGACACATTAACAGAGCACACTTTGTATAGAGAGGAGCTTCTGTTTAGAATGAAAGTAACTAGAAAATCAATAAAGACAGCCTCTTGCGTGGTGTTCAAAAGATAGAACCAGATACTCCAATAGCTGACAAAGGGATTATGAAGTTTGGATCGAGCTAGTCGCTCAAATATCATTTTCAAGAACCCCAGTCCCAATCCATACGGAAGAGAAAGGCAATACTGAGTCCAATCGCCATCAACATAAGTGTAGGGAAGCCTGAGACAAGGCCAAGCAGCAGGCGAGGTGCGAGATGCAGGTACTTGGGCCTAGAGTGGTGACAGTGGGAGAAGGGAGGGATGAAGCCCTGGGGAAGAATTTCTTTTTTCAAAAGAGGAAGCAGTTGACATTGACACTTTCTGCACCTTCCCTAGGAACAAAACCCACTTCTGTACTAAAGCAGAAACCATATCAGGAAATCCAGGGTCCTGCTAAGAAGCCCATTCCCCTTTGCCAGGACCTGGTGCAGGCTAGACATGGGATCCATTTCTGGCTTTCAACAAGTGTGAGGGGATCTTCCTTCCTAGGATAAAAAGCATCATAAGGAGAAAGTTTTTGGCTTTCTTTGTCCCTCTGTTCTTGTTTGAAGGATGTTTGTGTGAGGACATGATGCCTGCCTTATGGCAGCCATCTTGCTCTCATGAGGAAACAAGCCAAGGAAATTAAAAGCCAATCCTCTGAGAACGCAGTTTCTGGAAGAAAAGAAAGAACTCAGGTAGTGAGGCATCAGTGAGGAGCTGAGCCAACAGAGAATAAACAGCTACTTTGGGTCATCTTTTTAAGACAGTCTTCTGTCCCAGCATTCTAACTGTATAAGTAAAGTTTCCTTTTCTTTTTTAATTTTAATTTTACGCACTTCCTTTTTTGGGGACAGGTAATTTATTCAGATGGCTCAAAATTTAAAAAATATCATACAGTTAAACAGTGAAATGTACTCCTTTTACTCCTGGCCCTCAACTTCAGTAATGCCCTCCCTGGAAGCTGTAACTAATGTTACAGCTTCTGATGTTTCTGATTCTTTTCCAGAGATAATTTATGTATATTCAAGCAAATGTATACAAATGTTTGTATGCAACTGGCAGCCCATTCTCTCCATATTCTCCCACTTGCCTTTTCAATTTTTCAAAATAGCTTATCTATAATTCCCTATCAGTAACTAAAATCTTTTGCATTAATTTTTATATTTGCATAGTATTCCATTCTCTAGCTGCACCATTTAACTTGATCCTTTTGGGAATCTAAAATTCATTTCCAGTCTTTACTATTACAAGCACATCTACAATATTAACCCATGCCATTCTGAACATGTGAGAGTCTTACCATCAAAAAATTTGCTAGAAATAAAATAGTTAGTCAAAAGGTTTACATATCTTATTGTGATAAATATTACTAAATTACCCTCCATAGAGATTGAATATAAGCAATTTTTAGGATAATCTATTTCCTACACAAACCACAACCTCAATGTGCCATCATTTGGGGGAGGTGTTGCGTAGAAGAACTGGGGTGTAGGCCAGATCTGCTGGGGTGAGAGGATTCACCAGAGAGAGAGTGGGGAGCAGAAGAGATGGATTTACTGAAATACATTGCTAAGGGGAGCAGCGGGTGAGACAGGAGAGGTCTGCTGCGCCATGTGGGTCAGGTCCCTGGCCAGGGATCAAACGCAGACCATAGAGCTGAGAGCCCTGATACTTAACCTGGAGGCCACCTGGAGGCCCTCAAATATTTTGAACTTGGTCAGACTGAAAGGTGAAAGGTTAACTCAGGGTAATTTTTTACATGTATTTCTTATTGTGAATGAAGTTTTATATTTCATTGTAAGTGAACATGTTCATGTGTTAAAGAGTCATATGTACTTTATTTTTTTTTTACTATTTTTTTCACTTTACTATTTTTCTATTAAACAATTTTCAAATTTTATCTAGCTTTCCTACAATCATCTATTGGACAATAGTTTCTTCATCACCAATCTGAAATACCACCATTATCATAAGCCAAATTTATGTATGAATTTGAATTTATTTTCTAACTTTCATTTCTTTCCCTTGATCTTTTTGATTTGCTAGTCTTTTAATTACTTTAGCTATATATATATATATATATATATATATATATATATATATATAAAAAACCAAATGTATTAAATTACCTTCTAGATTTTCCACTGTGATAAAGTTGCCTACTATTGGGATTTTATTCCTTGGAATCATGCAAGACTCTGGAAAATGTACTAATAATTTCAATTTGTGTAATCATTCTTATATATTCTCTTTGGGATTTTGTTACTTGGCCACCTCGTGTCTTTAAAACTATCCATTACACTGTCCTTTGAATATCTATATTTGTGACTTCAAATGTTCCCAATGCATTCTCCAATATTTTTCACTTGCCAATTTGTTTGCTACAACACTACACACTCACACAAATCCAGAATTCCTTGAAACCCATTCCCAGGACTACAGTCAAGTTAACTTCAACAATGCCACAATACACACATGTAAAAGGAGCTTTTCAAGAGCCTTGAGGTGATCATTGATTACAGAGAGTTTCAAAGAAAGTTAACTGTAATCCAAACCCAAATTTTCATATATCCCACTTAAGGGTTTATTCATTGGTTCATTTAAAGACTTACTATTTGCACATACCTTGAAATCTGTCAGCTTAATCCCCATGCTCCTCATAGACTTATTAGAAATTTGATCCAAAATTCTAGTACTTTCAACTTCCTGGTAGTGGTAGAACATTTTGTAGCTGCTAGTCTTTCCCAACCCTGTCTCCTAACCACAGTCTCTGCTG